ATGTGTACTATTTCAAGGGGTTGTGTCCTACTTTATATTGTGTATGTGGGTCTGCTCTCCGACTGTCGCATGAAGCACAGATATTTTCCCCTACTCTTGATCTAATTTTTTCACTGGTCAGCCACAGACGAGCTGCGGACTGTGCGAACAGTTTTGACACTTTTCAGCCATATGTGTTTCTGGCTTGAAAGAGTCGAGACTTGCTAATGAAGTCTCGCCTTTTTTGAACTTTTCTCTATTGTTTCTTAGCTTACTGATCGTGTCAACTGATTCTTTTTTCTGACTACAGCGCCTTCATCTTTAATTCGTTTTCAAGTAAAGCTTATTATAATTTTTCTTTAAGCAAATAGTCTAACTTATTTATTTTTTACGTTTAAATACAATTTAATTTAGTTTTCAATTGCAACACAATAATCCCCACTTAGACTATCAACCAGTTTGTACTACATTTTAGTTTTCAATTGCAACACAATAATCCTCACTTAGACTATATACCAGTTTGTATTACATTTTTTTCTGTTTTGTCCATTAAAAAGTTTTTTTGTCTTCTGTTTTCACATCTTATTTCCCACTTACAACAAATCACTACACCTGTCGTTCCACATACTAGTGCCCGGCATGGCCAGGTGGATAAGGCGCTCGACTCACAATCTGAGAGTCGCGGGTTCGAATCCGCATCCCTTTCAGCCGTGGGGGCGTTATAATGTGACGGTCAATCCCACTATTCGTTGGTAAAAGAGTAGCCCAAGAGTTGGCGGTGGGTGGTGATGACTAGCTGCCTTCCCTCTAGTCTTACACTGCTAAATTAGGGACGGCTAGCGCAGATAGCCCTCGTTTAGCTTTGCGCGAAATTCCAAAACAAACAAACAAACAATCCACATACTAAGTTGTTTGCTCTTGTTTTTGCGAAGTTCGGGTAACTCTGCGCTTGGTTTATTCGTTGGAATAATTCAGTTGTTCGACTTATTAGTGATCTAATAGATAAGCTCATAAAACAAGTTGAAAATGCTGATATATATATATATATATTTAAATGTACTATAGTCCTATTACTCATCCGCACACATCAAATTATTCTAAAGATAGGTGTGGCTTCATAATGGTTTTGAAGGTCAAATTTTATGCTTAAGGACGTAATTATACTGTCTCAATGTCATTTCCAGCAAACTACAACGTAGCTGACATGTAAAATGTTTATATATATAAACATATATTATTTTAATCTGTGAATTGCTCATCATCGTATCTGACCCCCAGTAACGCAGCGGCATGTCTGCTGATTTACAACGCTAGGAACCGGGTTTCGATACCCGTAGTGGGCAGAGCACAGAAAACCCATTGTGTAGCTTTGTGCATAATAACAAACAAACAATCTTCGTATCTTGGGTTGAACGTTTTGAGAAAAAAATATCGTTCATATTCTAAGAAAAATTCTGAATTTCTTTATATTATTGAAAAGAAAAAAACTGCCAAAGTTAATAGTTGGAATTAATATTTAGTTTAAAGCTGTCAAAATGTCCATGACTGACGTTGGATGTGTGCTTATATATGTCTGTGTATTTTAACTTACAACAGTTTTACAATAAGATTATTGTAAATGTTTCTTTGCAACCATTTATTTTTATAATTTGTTATTGTTCTTGACTTTTCTTTTTGGTCTTCTAACTTGAAACCAATCAGATCTTTGTTGTATACATATATGTGCGTGTGTATACATATACAACATTATATACATATTTAAAAAAAAAATAGCCAGTGCGTTACGTATTAAAGTTTATTATAAAATATGATATGTTCTGTCTTGCTAGAGACATTAAGCTACTGGGTTTAATTTTGTTTAAACTGCGAATCAGAAGGTCCGAGCTCACAATATATCAATGAATAGCGTTATGCAAGTGACCGTAAATTTTGCTGTTCAAATCCAGATAGCTGACAAAAATCTTGAGGCAGCAGGTTCCACTGGATGGCTTGCAAATTAACTTTGGTCAGTATTTAAAAATCAAGAACGACTAAACTTGAACCCTAGGAATCTATGACGTGGCCGTTTAGTCCACGTGTATATAAAGTGCCGACCAGATTGAAAATACCAAGTAGAGCACATTGTTTATTTTCTATTTATACTTATTTGCAGATAAAGTGGTAGACGTGATCCGTAGAAAATATCAACAAATATAGCTATATGCGTGCGACAATGTCCTGCATGAATACTAATGAAAAAGCGGGAAATGCATTGAGCATTACAATTTAGTCGACTCAAGCTCGAATTTATAAGCAGCTCATTTTGCGAAAGCCATACAATGATTCTGGTATATAACTGTGGTTCAATATAATGAACACAGCGTAAATTAGCATCAGAATGAAAAAAAAAAGAGCTTGGCGATCGATTAGAACATTATAATTAATCATTAAGCAAAAATGTCTCACCCACACAATACCATTCCTTAGGCAAACAACGTAATACAGCCATTAGATTTCTTCCCGAAATGTTATAATAATTTATGTTCACACTTCACGTCAGTAATACAATAATATATTGTGGCTGAGAACTATCAAAATGTGCTTTAACCTTCATCAGCACACCTTTGAAAAGTTACGTTGTGGAACACCTGGGATCAAACAGGACCCCAGCACAAAGTTACAATTATAGTAAGCTCTGGATTGAAATTCCAAAAATCAATTGCATTACAAGTCTTAGTACGGTTAGCATGCAATGTGAACAACATAAAAATACATGAATTCTAGAGGAAATACGTTGACAAATCAAGAAATTACATTGTTCCTCAGTATTAAACCATTCCTTGTACAAACAGTGTATAAAAAATGCTGAAGCTTTATTATATTCTTATATCCAGTTCATTACCACAACATTTCAAATTTTAATTGAAAGTGTAAGTTATGGGTCACCTTGAGTCTGACCAGATCCCAACACAAATGTATCCGTGAAGTAGGCCATGGATCGAAAATCCAATAAGCGGTTTATTTACAAAAATTATTAAACAAGGTTTCTATAACACAGGGCATTATAAGCAGTCGTCACAGAGAACACTTATTGTGGACTAAGATGCGCATACATGCTTACCACAGTGGTGTTATATACAAACAGACGAGATGATACTGTACTATTTTGATGTATTATCCTCTATAACAGCCTATATAGTGAAATAAAAGTATAGAAATTTGTTTCGTGTGGTATGGGACGAACTTCATGTATAGTGATGGTCGATGATAGCATGGGGTTCACTTGTACTCCAGATCATTAGATCATAGCTATGTACTCCGTCTGCTTGTTTAAATAATACATAATGGGTTTCTGCTTGACAATTACATGAATGAATATAAATTTGTAATGATTATGTAAAAAGATATACTACAGAAAAAGTAGTTGGGGTCCACGTGGACCCCAGGTGTTCTGATGAAGGTTAAATTAAGGTAAATTTTGATTTCCTTTTGCTCACTTGATTGCTAACCCTCGAATTACCTGCTTGGTTACCCACAATACTCAATGTATTGTATGTTTCTATATGTTTGTAGTTAAGCGCAAAGAGACACAATCTGTGATATGCCCACCCGAAGTGTTTAAATCCTGCTTTTAGGTTACAAGCCTTCAGTGGTGCCGCTGTGTCACTGACAGGCCATTTTTTGTGTGTATGTTATTAATGATCCAGTAAACAAAGTAGTAACGGATTCATAAGCTATTTGGTGCATAAATAGTTTAAAAATCCGATTAGGGCCCATGTGAACTTTATTATTAATTCTAGGATTAATAGAAATGGAGCTTTAAAATTAAATTGTTAAAATATTTATTATTTTACATTACTTTTGTTTTTGTTAAAAACTGTGAAAGGAAAAGTAAAGCATATGATGTACGAATTTTATGTTAAATGGATTTTTTCTTCACGAAGGAAATAATACAAAATTATAGCTTAACTGTCCGAATTTCCTCTTTCAGGCTCTCTTAGCTTGGTTTTCAGAAAATCAAGCCTCTGCTTTCAAATGCTTAGCTTCTACTACATAGCATAGTATTACGTGCCACTTAAAGCCTCTCACCTTACCATCGCTCCCAGTAGCTTAGTGGCAAGTCTGAAGGTTTATAACGCTAGAAACCAGGTTTCGATAACCGTGATGGGCACAGCCAGATAGCCCATTGTGCAACTTTACGCTTAACAACAAACAAACAACTAAACACTTTCCTCTCCCGATTTCGTCCCCTTATAATATTTGAAAGTGTAGTCAGGTTTCATAGCTATAATGAGAAGTTAAGTTAAAAAAATCGAGAAATTGTGATCTGTTCTTAATGTTTATAAAAGGACACTTTCCATAGAGACAAACTACTATATTAATCGCCATAAATCAACTGAAATGTTGAAAAGTTACGAAAAAAAAAGAACCCTTAAATTCTCTATAGTTCAGACACATACATGATGCCGACACGGATCATTTTCCAATTGTTGTAGACAAGACCTGTTTGAAGCTTTTTCCTCAATTTCATATAGTAGTCCGAATAAAACCTTTTATGTTAAAGAAACACTTTAAAACCCTGAGCAAAAATAGCTTAATTCCTTTGTATCATATCCGTATGGGAAAACATGGTAAAATTCTTATTTTCATTTCCGTTTGAATCTCTTTTTACAAAAATTATCAAAACGTCTAATATCTCCTTATAGTTACGAAATATTTGAACAGCTGAAAGTATGGACTAGTAGTCTTGTTTTTAATTCAAATTAGGATTTGAACATGAAAGTGTATTTGTTTTTGTTGTTAAATACAAAGCTGCGCAATGGACTAGCTGTGCTATATTCACTGCAAAACTCGAACTCCTGTGTATAACATCTAGTGGCACATAAAACTCTGGCTAAAATTTATTTTAATTTTGAAATCTTAAAAAGAGAACTGTTGTGATTGTGAATTAATAAGATCATACTATTAAACACACAAACTTCTATTTTTATTGAACAAATACAATTCAAACAAAATTCAGAAACATTTATTACAGTTAAAAAACGAGACAGTATCATTACTGGAGATACTTATCCTATTATTAGATAAACAGATATCATTTTAAAAGGTTTACCTAAAATTCATAAATAATTTTGTCTTGTCCACTAAAGAAACCTTTTTTTGTTCGTGCTTTGGTATGATATCTTAGCAATATTGTAAAGTATTTACTCTGAATACATTAGCCATTGTATTTATTAAGTTTAAAAGCTTAATTTTTATTTATCGAGTTTTGATGTTGAATTTACTTTAATACCACACGAGGAAGAAATTCAAATTTGTGCTAATTTGGATAATAAAAACAGTGATTTGTAAAAGTAGAGTCTCAAGTAAAGTTTTATTAAATTTAAAGTGTCTATACAAATAAAATTGATCATTTCTTAATTAACAACGTTCTTAATAATAAGACTGATGGCGTAGCCGTGGGTTCTAGATTATCTCCGGATTACGCAAACCCTTTTCATGTTCCGTGAATAAAAGTTATTTACATGAATGTCCCAGGAATTGAAATAACAGTATTTTCTAAACATGTTGATGATGAGTAAGTTATCTGAATATGCTAGTGGGTTTTTTAACTACTTAAATGGCAAATATACATTCATTAAGTTTGCTGTTAAGAATGATGGTAAAAATGTATCTTTCTTGTTACTTTAGTTCGATTTCAAATCGAATATCGCATCGTATCACAAACATACATTTTCTGTCTTATGTCTACATTTCGAAAGTTTGTTTCAGCAATGTTCAATTGATTCAAACAACAACGAGGGATCATCTTTATGGTCAATCTTATTAATGTGTATCAAAAAAACTGATTCGATGTTGTACCCTGCAAACGTATATTCTGGTTTGAATATTTTGTTTGTTAGTTTCAGATTTTCACACAAAGCTATAAAAGTACCATCCGAGCAAAACCGTCTCTAATTCTGAACTGATAGATTATATCTAAGACAGGCAACAGCATCCACCGCCAACTCTTGGCCTACTTCTCTGACCAAATAGCGAGAGTTGAATGTCACTTTTATAGTGCAAAGTGTGGAGCATGTTCTTACATTAATGGGTCGTGAACTGGAATTCTCAGACTCACAGTTGGATATAGCTAACCGTTAGACCAGGTCCAGACCTGTAGTTTGAATAAAGAACTTTCGAGTAAGTTATTCAGAATTATCTACCATTGATTTAAAATGGTGTGTATTTAAGGATTTCATTACAACCTTGGAATATTCAGGAACAAAACTTGCAGGGTTGGCCAAGGTGTATACGTAGACCAAAATCACAAATGGTGTTTTTGTAGTAATGTGCCGAAATATTCGAATATACAACAGTGTCACTAGATTCAAAAACTGATAAACTGAATTTTATATAGATGTCAAGGCTAGATTTTTATCTCACAAACTATCTAAATTAGATATGAACATAATATATGTAAATACATATTCTAAATAAATAGTGCTTAATTCACTCTTTTGTGTTTTTCTTTCTTCATTAACCTTTCCTTTCAGGTTAGTTCTCTTTCATTTGTTTCTTTTCTGCTTTCCTTTTTATAAACAAACAAACCGTTATACTAACCACCATTTCTGTTTGTGATATTTTTGCTAGAATAATTTCCTGCTTTACTGTTGTTTTTTTTTATATGCATCCCATCCATTATATGAAGGTGTGGTGTACATCACTGATTCAAGTCATTTTAATTTAATTGCGAAAAAATGTTTGCCAGAAATATGCCATCAATGTGTATACGTTTAAAAATTCGCTGCATAAATTTGATTAATTGTTTAAATCATTTATAATGATATAAATGAACTAAGTTTTATAAGTCATTCTACATGTTTTTAAATTTTAAAAAGGGTTGAACTTTAAAGGGAAGGAGCATTACAGAACATTTACTTCTTCATTGCACTTAGGAACAATTGGCACCAAACCCTATGGTTCTTCTACAGTTTTGTGTTTATAAAGCCATAATGTAAATGAATATTGAAAAAAAAAAACGTGTCTATCTGTTAAGGTGATTACAGAAATTATAAGTTATAAATCCAGGAACATTCCTCATTAACTTTTCTCTAGATCTGCCACTATCTTTTTTCATATTTAGTGTTCTGAAGATTGAAATACGAAACATATTCAGTTTCTTATACTCATCAGTCCAGTAAGGTCGATGCTATAGATAAAAAAAAAATTGCACGATTTATTTTTATGCCTCAACACCCTTAAGCATTCTTTCACAAAGAATAAATATAAAGACAGTTGCATAAACATAAACAAAAATAAAACCTACAAAAGACCTGAGTCAATTGGAATTACGAAGTGGTCAAACTGACTTCCAGTCCAAAATCTATGATTCTTTACGTTTGTTTTTGACATTCATACTGTTAACTCCGTCACAGCAGCTAACGTTCAGATTAATGGATTTGGCTCACCACTTAACCGGGAGTGATGAACGCGGATAAACAGAATAATTAAGTTTATCGAGCTTTTGGATGGTATTACGTTACTGAAGCAACTAAGTAACATTTTATTATCGCTCTTTGATTATTTATGTGTTCGCAGTCGATGTCTTTTCATTACCAAATTAAAATATTAAAGAAAATTTCAGCTATGAAACAAAAATCATTTTATAAAACTATTAATATTGCTATATCGAGAAACCAAAAAAATTACTGTCTGTTTGACAAATGCGATATTTATATTTAATACGGCTATCACAAGGTGGAAACGTTAGTACAGAGCGACTCGAAACTTAATCACGGTTAACTATAACGAACAACAAAAGTAATAGCATATTCACAAAACACTGCAATATGAAATTCAATGTGTACTAAAATAAGGAAGAATTCTATGCTTTAAGTAACTAAAATAAAACGTTATGATACTGTTGAGGACAACAAAAGACATAATTTGGATAAACTAATATGAAAATATAGTGTGATAAATATCCATATAGAAATGTATGTAAGAAGAAATAAATGGGGATGCTCTCGACAAAAAAAAAAGTTTAAGCTTATTTCAGCATTTTTTATTCTTTCTTCAGTCCATTACGACTGTTGACGGCAGAGTAACGCAATTAAAAATGTCTAAAACCAGCACGAACGTATTTTTTTTTCACAGCTTCCTGAGCGACAAAGATCCCGTCTTCCACGACTTCTGTTATGAGGTTCAAGTCTGTTGCTTGTACCGTTACGTCTTGAACAGGCTTCCAGTACTGCACTGTACAAAAAGTTTCAAATTCGTTTCAAGCACACATGAAAACAGACACCATTTTGTAGAGGAGTTTGAAGACAACAAATGACTGACTTATACTTGTGTAGTGAAAGAATTATGAAACTTCTCCCTTAACAAGAAAAAATTTATAGTGTCATTAGAGCGTAGAGAAAAGTGTAAGAGAAAAACTGTTCCTCAATAAGGTATATATATATACACACACACAATAGTGCAGAAAGAGCGTTGACCACCCAGCAGTTTCTAGTGTGTGATTACTCAATATTTTACACAATTGAGGTTTGATTATATCTAAGTGTTTATAATGACATTAACAGCTTTATACGTTAAACATAACCATTATCACTCAACCAAAGTCCAATTTATCCGCCTTCCTTGTAACCAGTCTTCCCCACCCAGGGGTAGTGACTCGGACATTTCTGACACGTTTTCATGTAGCGTATGCCATTTTTGTCCCAAACATTACATACTGTGGGGTGATGACACGGAGGGGGGAGATCTTTCCGTTTACACTGCCAAGGTTCAAAGTTGTTTAATTTGGAGATTGGTGTAGGGGACCTTAGCCACTGAATGAGTTGCCAGTTGGTTATAACCCAGACGTCACCTTTGGAAAGAATATCGTCTAGGAATTTCATGAACCCCTTCCTATGATGAGCTGTAGTAAACCAAGCCGAATGGTAAAACAGACCAAGCGGGGCACGATTAGATTTGTAATGGCGGTTGAAATTTTTGTTCAGAAACTTTACGATTCCTTCTTCATCTTGATGACTGGAGCAGGCGTCGGCCATAGAACACCGACCACCCCTCAAGTCTACCCACATCACCATTCCCATCTCCCATAGTCCTGGAAAGGACTTGCTTGGACAGGGGGTAATCATGCATTCGTTGTTAATAGTGTAGTCCAAAGTAAAAGGCCAGAAGGGAGGGTTGTTCTCGAATACGGGCATGGAAGAGTCGTAAGTGAAGTTTGCCTCGAACAACATCTCAAACATAGGATTCCCGCCAATCTGCAGGAATGGTGCCCTCATACCGCGAATATCTTCTAACTTGACTCCTCCATACAAGTGAAGAACCTCTCGTTGACCCTGCACTTCTTTAAACCACTTGTTCTTAGAGAATTTCTCGCCATAGCTGTGGCTGCAACAAACAAAAATCGTGTATTAGAATAATACACACAGAAAGCTATATACTCAATAAAGAATCATGCACGATATTCATTGGGTGCATGTTTAATTTCACAGCTTAGATCTCGAAGAGTTATTCACAAAACGTTCATGTCGACATTTTTATTAATAGTATGCCCCATGGTTGTCAGTCTAATGTACTGACACTAAATACCGATTTTCATGCTTCTCAGGTTGTTCAGTTTCTGTTCAATAAAACGAGACAGACACATAAATTACATCTATTATATTCCTAAAACGTCATTTAATTAGTACACGTAGTGTGTAAATACACATGATTACACGAGTACACAAATAATTATGACTTTAATTAACTATGTTCATAATTATTTGAAACAATGCTTAAGAGTTGGCTTTACATTGAACAGCAAGCCAGTGGAGACTCGGAAAACTTTGAGGTTAGGCTAATTCTGATGTGTTAAGATTTAAATAAAATTGATAACAAATTACGTTTCACCAACTTAATCTAGTTCACACCAAACCAGTTGTTGTTCAAGTAATTCACACGAAACCAGTTGTTGTTCAAGTAATTGGTGATATAAATATCGTTTCCACCACTGATATGTCTGACGTATCCCACCCAGCCTGAAGAGCCCTGTTATTTGGCGTAAGGTCTTGTCAGCACTGAATACAGCAGATTTAATGTTACGCGACTAAGGAAGCACAATATACTATAATAATGATAATAATAAGTTAGCAAGCAATTATATATTAGCATAATAAAGTGATTTGGTTTTTGGGTAACATATTACATGGTTCAACAGAACATTAGTCTGTGAAGAAGACAGGCCAATGTTCTGTCCAAACATCTAGTATGTTCCCCCAAAATAAATCACTTTACTATGCTTATATATAATTGTTTGCTAACTTATTATTAGACTTAGTGTTGTCAACATATTATTTCATTCTTCCTTACTTTCACACATAAGTTCTTACATTTGATACAAAAGGCCGACCATGCATGATAGGTGTCTGCTATCTCAACGTATTCATTGCATTGATTATTGTATTCAGTTATAGTTGAGCCTGAAAAAAAAGCATCATTGACTTCAAGTTACAGCCGCGAATACATTTCATTCTAAGGAAACTAACCTGATAGTATGAGACGCCATCTCGTGGCCTAGAGAGTAGAGAGTTTGAACCTGTCCATAATCTGTCCACTCGTGAGAAACATAAAACGTACCAAGAATGGGACAACCATTAGGGTTATTTCGTCCAGTAAAGATTTCTTTGTATAAATCAAAGTTTAAATCGTTAATAGCATCATCGAAAGTTAGAAGTATTACTTGAGGAGTTTCGCGGACTGGCAATCCATTTGGAATGTCTGTCCCACCACAACGGCAGTCTGGAACAAGGCACGTACTGGGATTGCATTTTCCAGCTGCCACTAAAGGAGTAGGAGTTGGATATACAGGCAGAGGCCTAGAAGGAAAATTAGGAGTGGAATCCACTTGCTGGACTGGTCTTGAAGCTGGTGGTTTGGTAACTACGGAAGGGATTTTTGTAAAGTTTGTTGTTTGAACAGTAGGTGATTTGTGGGATTTAACCTTGAGTGGTGGCGTGTCAGCTGTAGGGTCATAGTCATCATAGTATTCATAACTGTACTGATATGGTTCATTATAATTCCTGTAGTTAAAGTGTTCAGAAGGGTTGTTGCCAGCCTGCTTATCGTCTGTATGGGGGTTCTTAAGGTTTCGAGTAGTAGTAAGCTTTTTGTCACTAGGATAATTATAGTTACGCTGATTAGGAGGATCTGGCAGACTTATAATGGCAGGATTGGTGCCAAACTGGGCGTCTAAGCTGTCTGAACCTTCTAAAGCTTGTACAGGTCTACCATAGGTAGGACGATGATTCTTAGTACTTTGATCGTTCACTTTGTGTGATCTCTCCAGAGGAGTAACGAGTGCTGAAGTTGGCAATCTAACATTGGGATCTTTATATTGGTCGTTATTTCTTGATAATGGGGTAATTGTATCAGGGTCTTTAAAATGACCATTATTTCTAGATAAAGGCAGAATCACATCTGCGTCTTCATGTTTACCATTATTACTGTTGAAGACAGGCAAGTTTTCTATATCACCAAGGTTACTGTAAGAGGAACGTGTTGCAGTCCCTTTAGAAGTGTCTCTATCTTTGTATAAAGAAGACTCATCAGATTCTTGGTAATTGCCGCGGTTGTTTCTGTAAGCTAAGGTTGAGTCTGGATCGTTTTGGTTTCCATTGTTGGTGTTTATAGCAGAATATCTCTTTGCACCTTCGAAGTTTTCCCGACCAGGAGACGAATTTTTCCGGTTTAATTCAAGTCCAGGATAAGGCCCCTCATCTGGATCTTTTGAACGGCCATTGTTATGGTCAATGGGCGCAAGTACATCTGGTTCCCTACGTCGATTGTTAATGTCATAGGTTTGGACATCTGTAACTGTGCCCTTAGATTCGTCACCATTTCCAAAGACTTGTTTCACAAATACACTTAGATCGAAGACATTTGGTGATCGATCACCACTAAAAGTGTTGTAATTGTTTTGCTCTGGATTACTGGACTTCTCCTGCCTATTGTACTGATTATAATGGGGAGTTGTTATTGGAATGATCTGAACAGGTGGAGGGTTGGGAGGAGGATGTATTAGAGGTGAGGAGGTACTATTAGAAATTGACGACCACGTTCTACCATCTCGTGGAGTAAGAGGTTCTAGCCTCCCGCTTTTCGCTCCTCTACTGTTAGAAGCTGTCCGCTCACCATAACTTGAAGATACTTCATGTGAAGTCTCGGGATTACGTCTTTGGCTCAAAAAGATGTCGTCACTTTGCCGTAAACTTTCGTGGTCTTCTTCGTTGTCCTGTGATCCTAAACGAAATATTACATAAGGTTATTTTTTCATGTCTCGAGATAAAACATAACAAGGTTCTCTAAATAATTTGGTGATTCTGAAAACAACAACAAAAACAGCTGTTACCACATTTGATGTTTCAAAGAAGACGAATACACTCATATCAACGGTTGACGTTTCTAAGGAAATAGCTTTAAGCATATTTGATTCTTCTAAGAAAATAGGATTAATAAGTACATTCTGTGTTTGTAAGAAAAAAAGGTCTTACGATATCTGGCGTTTCTAAAACATTACTACTTCAACGTGTTTTGTTTGTAAGAATAGAGGCTAAATATCTACATATCTGTGCAACCGAGAACTGCCAGTTCTAAGGTTAGTTTCTGACCGATGATTTATAGAAGTGTGAAAGTAGCATTATCAAATTTGGTGTACCTGAGAAAATAGCACTTACCGCCCCCACATTTTGTGTTTCTCGGCCAATCACAGGTCTGCAGCTCACTACTAAAGTACAACCCTCCAGTACAACTCTCGTGCAGTGGATCTCCAAACACACACACGTAATACTTGCTGCAATCCTTTGGATCAGAGTAGTAGCCAAACTGTTCACTGCAACTAAAAGGGGTATCACTTTTCCCACTAGATGACAATGCTAAACCCAAGATACAAAAATGCATAAATGTAAAATACAAGGAGACGTAATTTTTTAATGATTATCATTTTTCTTTCATATTGCATTAGATATAATAATAAACCATAAAAAAATTGAAATTATTTTTATCTAATAATCTTTTTAATTTAATAGAATGGACAAATCAAATATATTAAAACTATTCTATTTAAAAAAAATCAAAATTTAATGGTCCTTGCTCACACTGTAAAATATATTTATTAACAGGCAAATGTACAGACACTTTTTATCACTCATCATTCAAATAAACTTATATTCATACTTCACCATAAAACTTTTCCATTTATACAGTTAACATACTGTCAATGTTTATTTTTTAACCTTTATTTCAGGAACCAACTGACAAACATTCATTCGCAGAGATGGGGTTTTAGTTTAGTTTAGATTTTTTTCGGGAAATAGTTCTTTAAAATTTTTGATAATAATTATAGATAATAATTTTCGAGTTATTTAATAACTCAACGAAATTATATGGACTACAAGTGACGAAAGTATGGACTACAAGCGACGAAAGTATGGACTACAAGCGACGAAAGTGGTGAAAGAAGTTGATACAATTAATTGACTTGCTTCCGCTAGTCTATCAGTTTCAAATTAGGGAACTAATGTGCAAATAACCTTAGGATAGCTTTGCACGAAAATTCTAAACAAATAATTCTTCAGACCTGAGACTGATGTTAATAACATAGGACAAAAACAAGGAGTTTAAATATACATGCAAGTAATTTTTAGGTTAGTGTTACCATATGTTGGATTGATGTTAATAACATAAAACAAAAACAAGGAGTATAAATGCAAGTAATTCTTAGGTTAAAAGTCACTTTCTCGGTAGTGTTACCATATGTTGGATTGATGTTAATAACATAAAAAAAACAAGGAGTATAAATGCAAGTAATTCTTAGGTTAAAAGTCACTTTCTCGGTAGTGTTACCATATGTTGGATTGATGTTAATAACATAAGACAAAAACAAGGAGTTTAAATATACATGCAAGTAATTTTTAGGTTAAAAGTCATTCTCTCGGCAGTGTTACCATATGTCGGAGAACGAAATATGCCAGACTCGCTGAAAAATTATGCTAAAACTAGTGATATTATTCCAAATAACTTGTGAAATTATGGTAGAATGATGCTATCTTTCAACCATGTCTTATTGTTTCAGTGTGCTAATATATTGAAAAAACCCCATTAAATCTCCAAAATTAGAATTATTTTAAGTCAAGATATGTCCAAAAGTCAAATCCAGTACAAAAAATATATATACAAACTCAAGCAAGTTTTGGAGGCACAAGAGATGAGTATCAAAATATTTAAATAGGGACACTGAGAAAGGCTCTGGTAAATTTTAAGAGGGTGGGATACTTTCCATGTACATGAACTTCATACCAAAATAATTCAGTATTGATATTTTGAGAAATAAACTTATCAACATCACAACTCAGTAACAATGAACGCCAGTCATTGTCATGTTGTTGCTGTTCCTGCTTTGCAATTATCGTGGGAAACTTCAAAGAAAATCCTGCAATAAACGCCTGGTCACCTTTGACAAGTTTTGTAGGATTAAGAACGGAGCAGACAGGATTGAATCATTAAGGGTTACAACTACGCAGTTGACTTTTATCAAAAATTGAAGAAGGCGCTGAAACATACAATCATACAAACATACTTTCATGGAGTTCAGAAAATTTGACTACTTCGTACTTACAGCAAATTTCAATTAATATTTTTCATGTGGAGGGGGGATATTTCAGAATTATGCTAAAATATCACTAATGCTAAAAATTATGCCAACTGGAAAAATGATCCCGAAATTATGCTAGATTTGGTAACACTGTCTCTCGATGTCATTCTTGAATGACCACTGTCCTCATTTAGGATGTGGGTGATAGTTGGCTTGATTGCTAAATGTCTTAATGCCTTTCACCGCTAGAATAGCATACAATTATCAACGGTTTGTTTAACAATTACGTCATTCACCAGCGTGAAATCAAATTCGAGAGGTATAATGATGGCCTTGTTCAAGGCTAAATAGCAGCCAGCCATGCCTAAAATTGAGCCACAACACAATAGTCACGATGTATAATCGGGTCTTCTGGTGTACTCTTGATGGGTTAGAAACCCGGAAATACATCCTGGAAGGTCATTCACGGTGAAAGTTATCCCAGGGATTGAAACGGAAGTCCATGAACGAGGTTATTCTTCTTCAATGTGCTACTTTCTCCAAAGAATGGTTGTGGGAAACAGAATCATGATTGATCTTTAACCAAGATCTTGGTAGGTGATTCACACAGCTCATTAGGTAAATGTTGTCATAATCTTATCAGCTAAATAAAATCGCTAAACCAGCTAATTTTTTTCACGAATTAAAACTAATGTATGCTTTATTATGGCATTAGACAGCAATAAATATGAAGCTAGTGACTGGTAGCTATAATAGCTCCAATAGGTCTTTATTACTTGAAGCAAATGTATAGATAATGCTTGACGAACTAAAGACACGTTCATTTATAGAAGTTAGAAGCTACAAATTTTGAAATTATATAACCCTATAAGGGTCGCATCGCCTAAAACTGATAAACATGGTTATAAGTGGCTTAAACATGATCAAACAGAAATAAAAGGCACAACAAACAACATTCCGGCATTTTTTAACTTTATATTTAATCAATTTTTTAGCCGTTTTAACTGTATTCACTAGCATCAAATGTGAAAATTACGTTTTTTAAAAACCACTGAATAAAACACAACCTAAAATATTGTTTACAATCGTTGCTTACTTCATAATACCAAATGTATTATTTTAAAGTTTTTGTAAATAAGTTCAAATCATTTTTGTTATCAGCATAAACTACTCAAACCTGATTCATTAACAATAGAAGCGTTTGCAGTGTTCACTGGTTCACCCTTGATTTGGTGTGGCTTAAACTTTACAGGGTACTATGATAAACAACTGGTTCACCCTTGATTTGGTGTGGCTTAGACTTTATAAGGTGCTATGATAAACAACTGGTTCACCCTTGATTTGGTGTAGTTTAGACTTTACAAGGTGCTATGATATACAACTGGTTCACCCTTGATTTGGTGTAGTTTAGACTTTACAAGGTGCTATGATAAACAACTGGTTCACCCTTGATTTGGCGTAGTTTAGACTATACAAGGCGCTATGATATACAACTAGTTCAACCTAGATTTGGTGTGGTTTATACTTTATAAGGTGCTATGATAAACAACTGGTTCACCCTTGATTTGGTGTGGTTTAGACTTTACAGGATACAATGATAAACAACTGGTTCACCCTTGATTTGGTGTGGTTTAGACTTTACAGGATACAATGATAAACAACTGGTTCACCCTTGATTTGAAGTGGATTAGATTTTACAAGATAACACAAGGTGCTGTCATATGCAACTGGTTTACAGATGTTAGCAAATAATTACGACAGCGATTCAAATATTTAACTCCTCAATCAGATTAAAATCCGATGAGTGAGATGAGAAACAAAGATGGCTGAAGTCACTGTTTTGTTCTTAGAGTCAGTTTTGAAAAATAACAGCACCATCGATTGATGTATTACTTGACAGTCGGGATGAAATGCAACAGACACGATTGATAATACTGAAAACGTTATTTCCTCTTCTGAAGGAATAAAAGAACGTTCGTACACCATTAACCTACTTTAAGATACTTACATCGGTAGAACAGCACAAGTAGGGTTAAGTTCCTCACGTGGTTTTCTCCATATTTTTTACTTTACTGTCAGTACAGAAAAGGGTGCAACATGACTCACATCATATGATTTCCGTTACTCGATCTGTATAGTTTTCGCTCAGAGCTCCAGTATCACCAAACTTTTCTGTTCGTATGTGAAATAAGCGGGTTTCGGACTGGTTGTGGCAGTGTTTTGAAATGTTCTTCAATTGTTACGGTTAGACAAAGGTTAACCCTAACACTACTGAATAAATCAGTCAATCAGTATACGACCTGAAGCATATTGCTCCTCCTAAATCTGTCCAATCGTCTTTGTCATTTGATGGTTTTAGTTTCGTGCAGCAGACATTTTTTTTTTCACCGTGGGTGTTGATAGACTAACAATAGATGTCTCTGAACAGCCAGTCTTCTGAAACTATGTGACTTCTAAAGTAATGGCCCCCAGGTTAGATAGTGCTAAGTTTACGGACTTACAATGCTAAAATACAGGATTCCATTCCCTGGAGAGGGCAGATAGCCTATTGTGTAGCTTTGTACTAAAACAAACAACAACTAAAAAACTTCTAATGTAAGTTCTAAAATTTTAATGGGCTACAACTGTCTGTTGAATGAAAAGTTTCGGCTTCTATACTGAGACCTCCTTCGAGACCTGAAGAACGTCTCAGTATAGAATCCGAAACGTCGTCTACTTTTCATTCAACAGGTAATTGCGGTCCATTAAAGTTCTCAAACCTAATTTAATATTCTTGTTTTTCTTCTGCGTATTACGTATGTTTACTTAGTACAATTATATAAACAAACATCAAAATGTCTCTATCACATATACTTAGAGTGGTGCATCTAAACCTGCATTGTTACATTTCCATTGTTCCTTGCAGCATTTTTTTGCTGGTCCGGGCAAGTAGTTCTGTATAAGAGGTAACTGTCTCCAGAATTGTGATCCACACAGGCATCCAACTACCCATTCACTTGGGTCAGCCAGTTCTGGAGCACCAGTCACACAACTGTTCTCAGATACGACTTTTAAAAGCCGCCATTTTGGCTTCAGAGCTGCTTTTGTTGGGGTTATTTTGTCCATACTGCTACTTTATGTACAAAAACAGCTCTTTTCTGGCTTTATTCTTACTCTGATTTTCTCTTATGCGATCATAACAAAGTACAACATATTTGTCCATATCATGAGTCAAAGCATTCTATGGCAGATGACAGTGTAGCAAACACAGTGGCAGCTTCATCAGATATACCAACAGGATAG